AAAAAAAAAAAAAAACAATTATTCACAACACAATAATCCCCAAATCCCCAAATAATCCCCAACAGTGTGATTACTGAAAACAGTTTAAGATGCTTTTATGTATTTTAAAAAACATCCTTGCATTTTGCACATGTACAGACAACACTGGGTTTTAACATTATTTGGCAAATGATTACAGAAAATGAAGCATTTTTGACATCCTTTTCGTAGTCGGGCTATACAGATGACAGTCAAATACTGGATTTTAAAATAACTTGGAAGAGTTTGCTAGGACTGTGCTGTCAGGTGATAATGCAAGTTTATTGGTTTTATCTTGCTTTCAAGTTTAAAAATTTCCTTTGGGGCACCTCGAGGGCTCAGGGGGTTAAGCCTCTGCCTTCAGCTCAGGTCATGATCCCAGGGTCCTGGGATTGAGCCCCACGTTGGGCGCTCTGCTCATCAGGGAGTCTGCTTCTCCCCCAACCTCTCCCCCCTCACGATTTCTCTCCCTCCCTCTCTCTCTCTCTCAAATAAATAAAATCTAAAATCTAAAAAAAATAAAATTTCCTTTAAAAATGTAATTCAATTTAATTTAGTAATTACATAAATATTTATGTAGCTCTAAAGCCAAAGCCACAAACTAAGGGATATTCCTATATATAGAAGTCTAGTTTCTATCCAGTCTCCCTTCACCTCCTTTCTGCCTGTTCCCTGTAGGTAATAATTTAATTCAAAACAAATTTAATGGCTTATCCTTCCATTTGTAAAGACAAGCTGCTGGCGTGCTGTAAATCAATAAAGACACATCAGTGCTTTTTCTCACTTAGCAATCTACCCTGGAGAAAACCATTTAGTAACATATAGAATATTTCTCCTTCCTTTTTACAACCTCCTGGTGCCCCGTGGTGTAAACAGCAAGCACTTCATGCATGCAGTGCCCTGAGTGACTTTCAGGCTGTGCTACCCTACCGCACGGCAAGAAATAGCCACTCCAGTCTCCTCTTCCTCACTGGGCTGGTCTGTGTGTGGGACAGATTCCTGGAACCAGGATGATTGGGTCAACAGGCAAGGCATCTCTAAGTTTGTGTGATTTCTAGGTTCCCTCCGATGGGGTTCATATCACGTTAAATCCCAACAGATGACATCCAAGGCTATCTCCCCCAGAGATGGCTGTCAGATGCCAGGATATAGCCTCATCTGACAGGGACAAATTGTGCTGCAGGACACTTTTAATTTCTATTTCTCATTTCATGAATATGCTGAGCGTTGTTTCAGATCTCCAATGAACCCTCTCTAGTTCATGGTTCCTCTTCTGTGAATCTGTTCCTCTCTGCTCTCCGTTGGTGTCCTGCCCAACTTCCAGAGGAAGTGGTCCTTCGGAGCGGTAAGGGGAATGACATGGACGAGCAGGAAGTGCTCAGCAGTGTTGGTCTGGGGAAGCTGAGGACCCCTGTCTGGGCATCTCTGCGGGTGCTGGAAAAGTAAGCCTCTCCTTGGGCCCCGCGCCCACAGACTGGCTCAGAGAAGCCCAGGCAGGAGGCCGGCTGCCCTAGGAGGTGGGCGGTGGGACCCCTCCTGAAGACACATGCCCTTTCCGGGGAGATTGCCCTTCTCGGGCTCCCTCCATGTCAGCTGTGGACATTCACGGTGACTTCCAGGTGGAGTGAGCTCGTGCTCTCCACCCGTCACACTCTCAGCCTGGGCCCAGCCCTGCAAGTCTCAGCAGGCAGGTGCTTGAGCTGGGAGGACCACCTGGAAGAGGAGGCCTCCTGGGGAGGGTGGGCACAGTGAGTGGGGACAGCTCCCGGGTGGGCTCTGGGCTCCAGGACCACCATGTCTGCCTACCCGGGGATGGAGGTAGGGTGGTGCTGGAAGGCAGCATCCCCAGGCGTGAGAACAGGCAGGGGACCTGGCATGGGGCCAGCGGCCAGCCTCTCAGCCACAGAGCGCCTTGGGCAGAGAAAGGGGAAGGAGGTCTGTCAGAGTAAGGGAGCGAGTTCAGGGGGTCAGCAGCAGTGTGAAAAGCAGCTGGAGCAGCACCACCCCACCCCACCACCCCTGTCTGGCAGGGTCCCAGAGGGCTCCGAGCAGCAGCAGAGGCCAGAGGACGGACCCTTGAGGAGCCAGCCCCGAGGAGGGCAGCAGCAGCTGTGCAGGGGTGAGTGAGCCATCCCAGGGCAGCTGGGGGCCCTGGGCTCAGCCATGGGGCCAGCACCTGCTGCCATCTCCCCAGAGCAGCAGCCTGCCCTGCTGGATGCAGCTATGGGGCATGGGATGTGCCAGATGGGGACACTTCTGTCACCTGCAGGTGTCTAGATGCCCCGAGGCATCTTCCAGCTAGGGGGAAAGGTGAAGCTGAGCACAAGCAGAGGGGGTGGGAGGCGAGGGGGTAGACAGCTGCCGGAGCCTAGTCCCAAGTGTCTGAAGACAGAGGCTGTGGGAGGCTGCGCCCTGCTGCTGGTGAAGGGGATGGGGTAGATGCAAGGAAGGACAGGGAAGGGCAATGCCCAGGGCACTCCCATGCTAAGCCTGTGTGAGTCTGCTAGGCTGTGGCATTGGGAGTGGGAGGGACAGGATAGCAACCCACCATCGGCCCCTCAGATCCCCTTGTTCCCATGCCAGCCACCCCTGTGATGTGACAAAGGATGCCAGCAGTGGGAGCAGGAGCAACCCAGCCGAAGTTGCAAGACCTCAGGACCTCAGGCTGCCTCAGGACTTGGGAATCCCTCAGGATCTCAGGACCCTTCAGGATTCCAGGACCTCCTCAGGACCTGGGGACCCCTCAGGACCTCCTCAAGACCCCCTCAGGACCCCAGGACCACCTCAGGGCCCCTCAGTACACCTCAGGAACCCTTAGGACCTCAGAACCCTCTCAGGACCCCTCAGGATGCCCTCATATTCCCAAGTTGCCCAGTGTCCCTTGTCCTATGGTGGCTTCTCCCTTCTGGCAAAGCCCCCCCCCCCCCCCCCCACCTGGCTTGGGCCAATCTCCATCCGGAAAGGACTGTGGATGTGCTGTCTGGGTGCCTGGCTTGACCAGACCCTCTGTCTGGTGCTGTGGGGTCCCAGGCAGCCCAGCAGTGCCCTCCTGGGCGCAGGGTGAAGAGGGAACAAGGGGCTCCAGGGGGAAGATTTCCGAGGGTGTGCTGAGGGGAAGCGCAGAGAGCAAGACCAGGAGCACTGGATGACCAGAGCCAGGGCTGCCCACCCCAGGACTCCAGGGCTCCAGAGAGCTGTCCTAGACCCGTGGCCTCTGCGTCGAGCCCTGGCGTGTGCGACTCTCAGGTCACAGATAGCATGAGAGGTCTAGAGGCCAAGGAGTGTCAGAGCTGAGTGTCAGACCGCAAGGCTCTTCCTACCACCACAGATGTGCGTGCCAGCTTCTGGAAACAGGGCAGCCATCCTCCAGTAGCCCCCTCGGAGGCTTTCCCACAGGCCTGGGCCTGGAGCTTTGGCTAGAGACTGGGGGCAACTTATCCTTGGCCTTCCATGCACCCCAACCATTTCCTGGGGTACAGGGTAGATGCCAGAGGGAAGAGGCCTTGGGGGGCAATGTAGCCAGGAAGGTGTGACTGTCCTCTCCCTCTGGGGAGTTGAGCTGGGTCTGAATGCTAAGGGGAGACCACAGGGCCAGGGGACACTGGAGAGAAGAAACTCTCCTAATGGGGGACAGTGCTGGGGGGGTGACTTAGGGACAGGCCAGCAGCAGTTCCATTCTGGGGAGGAGTTCCGGAGTGTTTCCTGTGCGTGAGAGGGACACTAGTCTGCCAAGAGTGAGGAGGAGCTCTCGTGGCAAGAGGATGTTGGATGGGGGTGGAGGGTCTGTGAGGAAGAGCAGGAGAGGGTGGCCAGGGCCCCCCTGCTGAGGAGGGGAGGGGCACTCAGGAGATGGATGGCAGGTGGGACTGACCCCACCCATGACCCCTCCCACCCCGTGGTGTCCCCAGCACCCCCTCCCCCACAGATTTCCCCATCCCCTGTTTCCCCCTGTGGCACCCTCATCTGGCCAGACTGGTGGGAGTGGAAGAGGTTTCCCAGACCAGGTTTCTGTGAAGAGGAGAACAGAAAGTGTCCATGGTGGGGAGATGACAGAAGCTTGGGTCCTCTCTCTGCTCAGCTCCGCAGATAGACTAGACTTGTGGCTGAGTCCAGGTTCCAGAGGCCTCACAGTTTCCAGACACCAGGTGCCTGGGCCAGGGCTGGGGCCAGGGTGCGGCAAGGGCGGCCCTGGCCTCAGGCCGAACATCTCAGAGGCTGCCAGCACCCAGTCATGGGGACTGACGGGGCTTTGATGCTATGTATGACTACACAGAATCAAGGGCACCAACCCTCCATGAACGTGAACATGAATTGGCCCTGTGCTAAGGGCGGGTGGTGGGACTGGCATTCTTTTGCTTCAGGCTCCAATGTGGCAGGGAGGGGAGGTCGTGAAAGACCAGCCTCTACCCAGCCAGCAGTCTGGCTCCGAAGTGGCCTGTCCAGCACTGGGGAGCTCCACTCAGACTTCCCCTCCACCCGCAGAAAGGGTCATGTCTCGGAGCAGGCGGCCGGCCACCTCCCCTGCCTGCTGTGGGCTTCAGGCTGTGGGAGAGAAGCTGCCTCCCTTCCTCCTCCTCCTCCTCCAGGCTAGCGTGCTCCTTCCCTGCCCCATGGGCACCCTTCCACCTTTCAGAAAGCCCTTCCATCTCCACCTCCTCCCACCATTCAGGCCCAGCTCAAGTGCCGCCTCCTCCAAGAAGCCTCCTGTCCTAGTCTGCCTTCTGTGAACACCCAGGAATAGGAAGCCGATGGGAGTGCATGCCCCACTCTGCATGAGGGCACCTACATGAGTGGCCTGCATCCCACTGCCACGTCCCTTGCGGCGCCCAGGCGGGGGCCCTAAGGGTGGGCACAAAGGGGGAGCAGTGAGATCAGAGCAGATGCACCTTTTAGCTTGGGGAGTTGACTGTGGGTGGGTCAAGGCTGCACTGCCCGTTGTCCTCAGGGCCCTTTGCCCTCTTCCTTGGCACTTTGATTCCTCATTTGACCCAGGTGGGCAGGGGCATCATTCTCAGCAGGCGAGGGGAGTGAGGGGAGCTTGGGGAGGGCAGGAGTGCCCAGAGGCTGCAGCGTTTCCTGGGCCTGCCCCTAGGCTGCAGCCCAGAGCTCTGTGCAGTGACTCAGCGGCCACATTCACTTCCCTAGAAGGCCCAGCTGCACATGGCAAGGATGCGCATTTTATCATCAGCCGAGTAGCCCCAAGTGTCCAGAGGGGTGGAGGACCAGGAGGAAGGGGGAGCACGTGGGATCTGCAGGTGCGAAGCAGGGGAGGGACCTGGGAGTCCCGCAGGTGGTGGCTGGGAGGGAGGGCAGACTGGGGGAGGAGGCTCCCAGGGGCTCCACGGGGTGGGGGGGGGTGCTCGCAAGTCCTGCTCTGCCAGGCCTGTGTTGGTGGTTCAAGGCTGCCACCAGCAAGAGAATGGACCTGGGCTGCAATCTGGAGCCAGCCCTGTGCTCCCAGGCCTTGTGAACCCCGGGGGTGCAGGGGGCCTCTGCCCCTGGGAGGGAGCCCGCCTCACAGTCCACATGGAGGCCCCAGCCCACCCTGTGCTCCCCTCCAGGCCACAACCAACTGGTCAGCACACTTCAGGGGGCCTTCCTTTGTGCCCTGCGCTGAGGCATTGATGTGGCTGAGAGCAGGAGGTCCCTGCCGCGAGCTAGAACAAAGTACACAACCTGCTACTTTAATCCATGAGAAATTCTTTCTAGAAAACCGGACCGAGTGGGGTGCTCAAAATGGCTGGGGACGCCAGGGACGGACAGAGAGACAGGGAGAGAGGGAGGAGCCATGCTGGGACCCTGGTCAGGCTGGGCCTGGGGAGATGGGCCTGGGGCCACTGTGGTGGGGGAGGGTGGAGACAATACCCCTCTTCAGGAGCCTCTGTGCAGGGAGTTCTGGTGACGGGGTCTAGGGGAGTGCCACCCAGCCCCTCCCTCCTCTGGGTTTCAGTTCCTGCCTCTGGGAATGGGAGCATTCCCTCGCCCCTCACGCTGTGCCAGGAGAGATGCTGGGGTGGACTGCAGGGCCCACACGAGGCCCACAGGTGCCTGGGGCTAAGTGAGGGCAGGGCCAGAAGGCCTGGAGGAGCAGGGGGCAGGGGGGAGGCCTGGTCTGGAGATCTGGCTTCTGAAGAGGTGGGCTTGAGGGGAAACACCTGGGGGAAGGGAGGGAGGAACAGAGCGGCAGGAAGTCCTCTGTCCGGGGGAGTGGGGGGGGGTCGTGAAAGGAGAGGGGGGCAGTGCACAGGTGGCCCTCCTGCTGGGATGCTGGCCATGGAGGCAGGGAACACCACCCTGCAGCCCCTGGGGGCCCAGCCCTGGGCCAGCTGCTTACTTTGGAGCTGCGGGCAGGGAGGACTGGCTGGCCTTGCTCTCCTGGCTGTTTCCAGGACGCTCCCTCTCACCCAACATGCTGGTTCTCTGTCTAGGAAGGCGGTGCTGGCTCCCACTTCCTTTCCCAGAAACTACCCTAGGCAGCCCAAGACTCCTACCTCGTTTGAGACTCTGAAACCCATTTTGTGGGCTATGACCAGGATCTGAGAAACCAGAAGAAAAAGTGTCTGAGGGCCGTATTCCTGCTATAGGGGTCTGTCTGGCCACACATCCATCTCACTCACACACAACCAGCCTGCATCCTGGAGGATTTCCCGTGTGCAGTACCAGCTCCAGAAGCCCCTACAGCGCTCAGGCACCTGGGGTCTGCACCCCACCCTCTGCCCGACTTCCTACTCCATGGCACCTGCTCCCAGACAGCAGGGAGGGCTGGCGGAGGCCTCGGGGCGCGTGGGCCTCCCAAATGCCACTACGGGCTACTTTCAGGTCATTGCAAAGGTCTGTCGGCGCAGAACCGAGGGCACCTTTCCACGCAGGTGGGGAAGCTGACTGAGCTCAGCCTCAGGAAGGAAGTGGGGCCTTGGAGGTGCTACCCACCCCCAGCCTCCCCCCCGGAAGGAAACTCAGAGCCTCTGGCTACCAAGCACTTGCCCTGTGCCCATGGGGCCCCAGACACTAGGGCGGTGGCCGCAGAATGTCTACTGGAGGTGACAAGCCTGCGTATCTGAGCAGAAGACCCGCTGGGTCCCTGCCTTGGGCACAGATCCCTGTGTCAGGGTCAGACCCAGGCAGGGGCATGTGCTGACTCTGATGGCTTCTGGGGGCCCCAGGCCACTTGGGTTGGACCCTGGGGCAGGATTTCCTGAGCTTTTACAGAGAGAGCCTCGGAAGCTGGGCAACTCTCCCCAGTCTCAGTGTGTGCCCTCAACACCTTGCCAAGTTTGCATCCTCTCCCTGGGGCACACTGAGTCTTGCGTGCAAGCCACGCTCCCAGGAGTGTGCGACGGGACACCCAGCCCACGGCCGCTTGCGCTGCTGGCCAAGGTGCAAGGGACTGGCCCTGGACCCAGAGCAGGTGGGCAGAGCAGGGCCCACAGCATGGAAGGACCCAGATTCCGCACAATCACGGCATGTTCCCAGCAGCTTCTGAGGATCCTGGGCTGCGGGGGGACCTGAGCAGAGCCCGCCTGGCAGGTCACCTGTGTTTCTGGGTAAGCTGCAGTTGTGAGAGCAGGGCAGGAAAGGAGGAAGGACCCCCATGGATGGTTCCAGTAGGCACTGGGGGTCCGTGGAGCCTGGCTGGCTTGTGGTCTGAGGGTCCTCTGAATCTGGGTGTCAGAACAGAGAGAAAACCAAAATCCTTTAAGGAAAAAAAAAAGGAGAGTATCATTAGCAATGTGTGGAGTCTTTACATGCAGTGAACAGTTCATACATCTTTAATTGCTGGAAAGTGTGCCATTTTCAAATTCAAAAGGGATGAAATGGGATAATTTGGCAGAATATTTCTGTTTCCGGCTGAAATCTGTGCTCCTGCTTCCCTAATGGACTGTGACCTGGAGGTCCCCAGGGGATTGCAGTGAGGAAATGAGCTCCCTTTCCCCCCCCCCCCCCCCCCACAACTAATGAACCTAATGGTTCTGGATATTTCTCCCTTTCCTGTGTGGGGAGGAGGCAGGGATGCAGAGCCCGCCCAGGAACCCTCCCTTCCATACCACTCCTGGAGAGCAGGGAGCCCCAGAGGTCCTGGTACTCATTGGGGCGCGGGGGGGCGGCCACTCCCACCCTGTCCCCCCAGCCCCCCAGCCAAAGGAACCAGGGTGGGGGGGCTTGATGGGAGTGTTCCCTGTGCCAGACACTGGGCACACAGGCCACCCATGCAGGTGCCCCGTGATCCCACGTGTGTGACACCAGTGCCCCATTCTGCTGGAGTGCCTGAGGCCCGCCCAGCTTGGGGTGAATCCAGAGTCCAGTTCCTAGATCATGGGCCATGCTGTGGGTGTCAGAGCCCTGACCAAGTCTACCCTGACTCTGGGGCTGTGTCCTGGAGCGTGTCCGGGGAGTGAGGGGACTGCACGGGGTGGTGGAGGGTGAGGTCTTATGGTGGCCTTAACAATGACAGGGATGGATGCCCAGGGCTCCCCAGAGGCCTGCTCTGACCCGCTGGTCTGGGCCTGAAGGGGCAGGGCTGCCATCAAGGCTCTGACCACAGAGGACTCAAGGGGCCCTTCCAAGTGGGACCCTGGAGCATAGGACTGGGGTAGGCGGGGCCTCGGTGAGAGGGTTGTGCCTGGGGCCTGTGGCGGCTGTCCCCCAGGAAGAGGATGTACGGCAACAGCATGGGAGGGAGACCAGAGTCCTAGGCTTTCCGGGGAGCCGTCCTGAGCCGCAGCCCTGCCGCCTGGCCCTCTGCCGACAGGAGCGGCCGGGTGGGAGACAGCGGGGGTGTGAGGGTGGCTCACAGATCAGCACCTCCTGTGGCTAGGTACAGGGAGGGGCAGAGGGGGCCCTCTCAGCGGGCTCAGGCCCTCGGGACCTGAGCACTGGCACACTGACCACTGTGAGCTCCTCCACCTTCCTTTCTGCCCAGCAGCAGACGCGTCACAGGCCAGGAGGGATGGGGAGAGGGGAGGAGATCTGGTTCTGTCTCTGGGCCACCTGGCTGTGTGACCCTGCCCCCTGCCACGGCCCCCCCTCCCACTGACCCAGCCTCTGAGAGCTTTGGGTTTCCCACTCAATCCAGTGCGTGGGGATTTGGGTCTGGCCTGGAGGGTGACACGCAGCTCCTGATGATTTCTATGATTTTCTTGGGGAAGGCAAGTCTGGCTCCTGGATGTGGGCTGGAGGTGGGTGGGGCCCTGCCAGCCCCTCGACCCCCTTCCCTGCCTGCCATCCTTATCCTCTGCTTCTCGCCCTCAGCAGCGGGACCATGAGCAACAGCACCTGTGTCTCCAAACAGCTCACCTGGCCCCCCTTGGTCAAGATCGTCCTCTCCACCTACACGGGGCTGCTGCTGGGTCTGGGGCTGCTGCTCAACGGCCTGGCGCTCTGGGTGTTCTGCAGCCGTATGCGGCGATGGACTGAGACCCGCATCTACATGGTCAACCTGGCAGTGGCCGACTTCTGCCTGCTCTGCGCCATACCCTTCTTCCTACACTCCCTGAAGGAGAGGACCACAGACACGCCCTTCTGCCAGGTCTCCCAGGGCGCCTACCTGGCCAACAGGTACATGAGCATCTGCCTGGTCACGGCCATCGCCGTGGACCGCTATGTGGCCGTGCAGCACCCGCTGCGTGCCAGGGCACTCCGCTCCCCTCGCCAGGCTGCGGCCGTGTGTGCAGCGCTCTGGGCACTGGTGGGCGGCTTGCTGGGGCTGCGCTGGGCCCTGGGCATGCAGGAGGGCGGCTTCTGCTTCTCGAATGCGTCCCGGCAAAGCTCCAACACCATGTTCTTCTCCCTGCTGGGCTTCTTCCTGCCGCTGGCCGTGCTGGTCTTCTGCTCCCTGCGCGTGGTCACCGCCCTGGGCCAGAGGCCGACAGCCAGCCCGGACCAGGCAGAGGCGACCCGGAGGGCCACCCGCATGGTCTGGGCGAACCTGGCTGTGTTCGTGGTCTGCTTCCTACCCATTCACGTGGTGCTGATGGTGGTCGTGGCCACGAGCTTGAACACCTCTGCCATCTGCTATGCGCTCGTCATCACAGGCAAGCTCTCGGATGCCAACTGTTGTCTGGACGCCATCTGCTACTACTTCATGGCCGAGGATTTCCAGGAGGCATCTTCACTGGCCTCGATGCCCATTGCCAAGGCCCACAGGAATGAGAACTCCCTCTCTGTGACCCTTGCCTAGAACAAGTCGTGGACACATGGGCTAGGTCCCAGGCTCTCCGGGAGGCCCTGCCTGCTGGGGCATCCCTGAACTCGCTGTGGCCGTTGGGCATGCTCCAGGAGCCTGGCAGGGTGGAAAGGGTGCGGGCACGGACCCTGAGGCAGAGTCGTCCCAACCCCTGGGATGGAAGAGGGTCGGGACCAGAGCAGGAGGCCTGAAGGCTGAGTGAGGCCAATCTTGGACAGGGCCAACACGGGAGCGCCCAGAGTCTGGCACCCCTGGGGTACTGGAGTGCATGCTTGCTCTGTGCTGTGAGGCCTCAGTGGGCAGCCTTCTGCTGTCCCCCAGGGCTGGGCCTGGACTGTCAAGGCTGTGTGCGTGCAGTGCACGTGTCCCCCACACTCTCATGGTGGGAGGCTGGGGTGTCTTTCTAGGTGGCTCTCAAGGACTCTCCATCCTGGGGCTCTCCTTGGGCCCCCCCCACCTGCTTCCCACCCCCCGGCCCACTGCCAGCCATCTGCAGGTCTCCAGGGGGCTACGGGCAGCTCCTGGAAGGGCCATGCTAAAGGCCCACGGCCTGCTTTCCTCCTGCCAAGGAAGAATCAAGACCGCTCGACCCCCTGTAGGGGCTGCACAGATGCAATGGGCTGGCGGTGGACTGGGGGACAGTGGGGAAGGGGCCAAGGTCTGTCGAGGGGGCACGGTCCCTTCATGATTTCTTCAGGGAAGCTGGAGGACCCTACCTGGGGGCTGCAGAACCTGGAAGTCCTCAGGCGGGGGTGGGGGTGACCAGGCCGGTGTGAGCTGTACCCTAACCCCTCCTTGGCCCCCCTGCATGGGCCTGGGTCCCCCCACTCAGGCTGGAACTACCTGGGCCTTCTAGGGGCCCCCTGTGGTGCTGGCCCGAGGGGCTTGGCTTCGAACCCGAGCCCACCTGCCTCCCTGGGCACCAAAGAGCCTCCCTATCCTGTTCTTCTGTCTGTGTGCTTGGAGCCCAAATGTCCTGGCTTTGGGCCCCTGCAGCTGAGGCAGTCCCTCAGGGGCCCCACGGGGAGTGGTCCCTGCTCAGGGAGGTCCACGCTCAGGGAACCTCTGCTCAGGGATGGGGGGCTCATGGGGCCTGTGCAGCTCAATCCATGGCTGTCCTATGCTGGGGCTCAGATGCCCACCTGCTGTTGGGGACCCCTGCCCTTCGTCACCTTGGGTAGGGAGTGCCGACCCTGCCCCCGCGACATGCACCAGGGCTGGGCCAGGCAGCACTCTGTCCTGAGAAGGCATAAAGATGGCCAGGCTTGTCGGGTGGAGCAGGGCCGGGAGGAACGCAGCCATGTGGAAGCAGGGGAGGTGTGAGCAAGGACAAGGCTGCTGGGCCGACCCCCCACAGGCAGACCACCTCCCTCTCTTGCCCCCATTCTGCACCCCTAGCCCCATGTTCCCAACCTCATCCCGGGCTCCCCATGACTCCCCACACCCCTCACCCCATCCAGTGCTTCTCACTCACGACCTCCAGCTGCACCCTCCACACCTGGCACCAGGCCCCTCATCACAACCCCGCCCTTCTGGGGGCGTGGCCAAGTGGACAATTCCCAGGCCCCAATCTCTACCGCCCTGACCCTCCAGTGTTCTCCTTTTCCAAGGGACCACAGGGTCCAGAGAAGGTTTCTCACTGTAGGGTGGGATGACCACTGGGCTGAGCAGCAAGTCAGGGCCAGGTATAGACATCCAGGGCTGTCCTTGGCCAGATTTGGGGATCCAGGGAGAGAGGCAGAATAGGGCCTGGGACTCAGCTCCACCCCCCCTCCTCCCCACTTGCTCAGCGTTGTAGGCTCTAGGAGAGGGACACCCAAGGGCCAGTGGGGAGCAGCCATAGAGGAACAGAACTTTAGACCAAAGGCTGATGGGCCCCATGACAGAAGCTTCCTGAGCCTTGTGTTAAGAACTCTAAACCTCACTCTGGGCCCAGGGAGCAGTGCAAGCTGCACGGGTCGGAGCTGAGACTGGCCCAGCTCCCAGGTGTTCTCCGGTGCTGTAGGCTCGCCAGGGCTGTCCTTGGGAGGGCGGGGGCCCTGGGAGGAGACCTCTGTGGGGTCTCCTGGTGGTGGGGCTGGAGCTGCTGGGTGGCGGAGGCAGCTGGCTATGCTCCCAGGACTCCAGCCTCCTGAAGGGGGCCCCCGCGGCTCCCCCTTGCTGGTCCCCGTCTGTGGCTGGGGAAGGGGATGGGTGCGCCCTCTGTCCCTCAGGCCGCTCCTGACTCCCAGCAAGTGCAGGCAGCTGGACTTTCACAAAATTCCCAAAGGAGCAAGAAAAGGAGCCAAGGCAAAAATCACAGATGTTAAACATCCAAAGAACTGACTTTTGGACACTAATCATGGCCCACACACTCTGAGAGACTTCTGGGCCGGGCCAGACCACGTGGAATACCTTTGCCCTAACACCCCCCACTCTGGCCCAGATGGCTTACGGGGCAGTTGGGCACACTGGTCAGGACTGGGCTCACCATTAATTAGCAAGCAACAGGCATCTGAAAGCAGGCTCACTTTGAGGCTGCATCAACAGGAGTATAGGGCCCAGAATGCGGGAGGACACCAGTTCGTTCTCCTTCTGCTAGGCTTACATCTAGGGTATTTTATCTGGCTAGGGACACTGTTCTGTCCCATGCCATAGTCACCTGGAGAGGGTCTGGAGGGTACAGGCTGGTGAGGGCCTGGCAGCAGCCAGAGGAAGTGTGAGCAGCAAGTGAAGAGAGGTGCCTTCACCTCCAGCAGATGAAGCAGGAGGTGGTGGCATCTGTGGTCTCCGAGCAGCAGACAGATCAGGATGGCTGTGGAGAGCAGAGCCATGATGGGGAGGGACCCAGAGAACGGCCCAGGACCGGGATGTGTCCAACCAGAGAGCTGCGTGAGACACAGCTGTACATATCCAGGAATTTGCACACAGAAGGAAGGTACTCCTGGGGGGGACTGTGTCACCTGATTCCTAATAGTCTGTGTGTCATCCGGCCGATGTCCCTTGTCTGTGGCTCTTTCCTCTGGGGCAGCTTGCTTCTCCATGAAGGCTCTCTGTCCCTGCTGGGGCTTGGAGCCTGGCTGCAGCTGGCCTCAGGAGAAAGTAGTCTAAGGGAGGAGGCTGGCAACCCACGGGCAGAGCTGAGCTTGGCCTCCTGTTATCAGGGACCCACCCGCTGCTGTGCACCAGAGAAACCTTCCCTAAGAACACGTGTCTATCTTCTACGGGGCCAGGGTATATCAACCAGAGGCAGTACCACAGCAAGGGGGCTCTGCAGGGTCTTGGAGAATGGGTGCAGGTGTAGGGCTGCTGCCCAGCCTCCAGCTCCCCCTGTGCAGGGGCATGGCAGGGTTTAGGCACCCCAGGGGCCCCAGGGAGGGGGGCAGCGGAATACAGTGTCCATCCGACCAGAAGGTCAGTGCTTCAGGAAACTACTGCCCACATTCCCCAAGTGACCATCCAGATAGCAGCCCCCCAAGTCTGACCACGTGAAACCCGCTGGGGGAAGCAGCCTCTCCATCTCATGAGCTGGCAGTGAAGGGGTCTTCCAGCTCCTGCCTCCCCCGAAGGGTACACAGGAAGGCAGAAATGACACTGATGACCAAGAGACCCCCCTCACAGGACTGGGACCACACACCTCTCAGAGCAGGGGTGTCCTCGCCACCCTTTCAGAGCCCCTGCCGCACACAAGATGCCTGATGTGCTGGCGCCCATCACCGCGTCTGTGTGGTGGGCCGTCCCTCCCAGCGTCCTCCCAGCACCTGCCCTCAGCTCACCCCCATCATGGCTTCGCAGGCCATGTTGTTCCTCTGTGAGGTGTCCCTGATTCATGGGAAGATGGGCTCCCCCACGTGCCTCTGCTTCCTTCCAGGCTCTCCCGAGCTGGGACCAGTTCTCAATTTCCTCTGATGCCCTTCCTCCTGCAGGTGGTCAGCAGACCCTCTGCAGCCCCAGGCCTGGACCCTCTCCCTGGGGCTGCCGGCGCGGCCAAGGGCAGGGCCACCCTGGTGCTCCGGCAGGCTCACACCCCTGCCTCGGGGTGGCTTCCAGAAGTCTCTGAGAGGGAGGCTTGCATGCAGGGGTTTCCGGAGGAGTTTGCTTGGGAATCCTACCCTCAATGGTGCTAGCAGAGCGGGGAGGGCCGAGGGAGCAGCTTCCGTACCCGTGGGGGCTCTGCGCTGAGATGACGCAGCTGAGAACACAGGTTACCACGGACACACGGTCCCTGATGCCCTGTGTCACTTGCTGAGAGCAAGTCCAGAGGAGCTCTGGGCTGGGTTGTGAACTCTGGCAGGAAGGGCAGGCAGCATGTGCCTTGGTCATTATGGGGGCCCCCGGCAGCACCCCACAGGATCCACTACAGCCTGCCACCCTGTCGGGCTGGGTGCTTGGAACCCTGAGCGGCAGCTCTCCTTGGCTGTGGGGGAGGGGGCTGTGGCCAAGGGTCTCTGGGTTCTCCCGTCCTGAAGGAGGCAGGTATCCTGTCCAGGGTCTCCCCAGCCAGTGCCAACCATGGATGTGTAGAGCTCGGTGGCCGCCCCTGGCCCAAACCGGCCTCTCAGAAGGCGCATGCAGGCCCTGCTCCGCTCCGTGTGGGAGGCCGGTCCCTGCAGGTTGGAAGTGCCCTCGTTCTCCAGCCCTGGGCTTCAGATGGCTGCAGAGGTGGCCCAGGGCTGTGGTCAGGAAGCAACGTGGTGCAGGGTGTCACAGATGGTAGGCAGACACAGCGGGAACCAGGCACACAGGGACCAGAGCAGGGGGCTCTGAGCAGGGGTGTCCCCCTGCCAGATGCCCTCAGACACATGACTGTACCTATGCACAGAGAGCACAGAGCCTGTGATCATGGCTTTGGGCTCCAGTCTGGCTGCACGGACAGTGGCCCAGCCCAGCTCCCCAAGACCCCAGGCCTCCCAGACTGGTGAGTACCCCCCAAGCCTGTGGCCCCTGCTGTCCTCTCCGTGATCCCTGGCCTGTCCTCTCCCTGCTGGCCAGTGGAAGCTGGGCAAAGGGCTCCCAGGTGCAGGGCCCCAGGCTGGCCTGCATCGAGCCCCGTGCTTCCCACTCAAGGACTGCACTGCGCTCCTCAAGCAGGCCTAGGGCAAGGGCTGGGGGACAGTTAGCAACTGTTTGAGGTAAGATAGTTGGGGGGGGAAGGAGTGAGGGACAGAGGTAGAGCTGGGGGGACAGAGATGGGAAGACAGTAGGAGGGACAGAGATAGAGCTGGGGGAGAGAGAGGGAAAGACAGTGGGGGACAGAGGCTGAGAGGAGGGGGAGGAGAGAGAATGGGG